AAACACCTAAAAATATCTAATTAAAGATTGGTAGCGTCAGTTTGTACTCGTTGATCTGCGCAACAGTCAAAGTTGCCATCTTTGTTTATATGAGTCCCATATATCTCGCGCGACGAACCGCCCGTTAAACGAGAGGTTACGTATCTATTGCCCTATAGAATAACATTGAAACATTTTAAAAAACGTCATTACGCATTTAGATAACCCCTGTCTTCGTTTCCAATCCCCTTATTCTGGTAGCTGGTGGGAAAATGTGCTTCTCTCGAAATACTGTAGTTACAAATTTACAAATGGCGATGTTTCTTGATTTTCCACGTTGAATATAATATCATACAACAGACTCTACATAAAATACCAGCGTGTGTACAATATCTGGTTAAAAGCTTGGTTAACCTTTGATCAATATTAATATATTTTACACGTAGGCTTTAAAATATTTCCAAGGTCCGTGTTTGTTGAAAGCACATTGTAACGTTTTTAATCGGACATTATTGCGCCCTCTAGAGAGTAGAAATCGTAAGTTATTTTGCCAACAGCCGGAATGTTGATCTCAACAGGGTGCTCATTTATATGCATTGGCAGCGTTTGTTCATTTTCCGGCGTAGTTTATCAGTGTTGTTTGTTCTCTAGAGAGGTGTGTAAACAACTCGATTGTTAAGCTGCCAGCTGCTTTGACCGTCTGGAGTATCTATTCTCGCAATTTTGGTCAAGAGGCCAAAACTTTGCTACACCGGGACCTCGAGTTTTAAAGTTTTGTTGAAGTATAAGAACCACAGTACCAAGTGGTACCTCGAGGAGTTGTAAAGTGTGCTTTCACTGTTTTGGACCTCTTCATCTGCGGTATCACGGCAAGTCCGACCTTCGAAGACTGCGATCTACTCGTCTGTATATATGTACGATTGTGATAATATTTTAAATGCCTCAAGTACTCGACCGGAATTTTACATTTCAACATTTTTTATCGTTTAACGGAGAAAACCGTTTTTATTCAAGACGTACGGCCGAATTCAAGTTTTGATTGAGTGCTCTCAGTCGTGGGATAAACCCAGGTTTAAAGCGATTTGAAAACTGGATCACTTCTCTGATAGTTTACAAAACGGTTTGTAAGTTTAGTCTAGAATTTCCGATAATAGTAGTCGGTTTCGACTGCATGTTTACTACCAGTGTGACTAGACTAGAGGGGTGAACGCTTGCTTGGAAAGCTGAACTGGAGACGTGGTGTAAAAAGATTCCTTGTCGGAGAGAGACGGACATTGAAATCGGTGAATAAGCGTCCACGGCGGCTGAATGGAGTGTAACTGATGCATGAACAGTGTACTGACATGTAATGAATAGGCGCACTGACGACTGGATACTGTTCCTTTCAGTTTCCACCAGTCCGCAAACTTCGTTTTCTTTTGTCAAGTAATTACCTTGGGTCGCTCTCTCACGGGACAGTCCTTGTAAACCCACGGCAACCGTATTTTAATATTCGGAGTGTATATTTAATTCGAGTTTAGCGCTTTATTTAAGCACGTACATTTTGTATAACTGTTTCTGGTTTTAGCGTCAAAACCGCTTTGATTGACCTAAGCGTAATTCGATCGCGGCGATTATATTTTTTATCTGCGACTTTGTTTTCATTATTTTGCTCCACTTTCTCCGCTGTAAGTTTTCGCTCTGTAGTCAATTTATTCCAAGACAAAATGGCGGACTTTGAAAAGATCATAGTTGTGTTGGTGTTAACTTTCGCTGTTGTGTCAGCGACCAACGCCGATCCGTGCAAGAGAGAAGCTACTTGCGAGCTTGCTATTTCCGACACCTGCCTCGGCACTCGCCTGTCGCATACCTATACATCTACTATACTGGCGAACGACTCTTCTAACCAGGAAGAGGCCCGAGTGAAACTTGCGATGTGGAGGGGACTTCAGAACGTCCCAAAGTGTTGGGAAGTCATTCAGCCACTGCTCTGTTCTATCTATTTACCAAAATGCGACCCGGATACTGGTTTGGTAGAGTTGCCGAGTTTGGATATGTGTTCGGTGACAAGAGACCCTTGCAGGATTGTGGAAACTGAAAAAGGGTGGCCGTCGTTTATGAAATGCGACCAAAGTCATTTCGAAGTTGGATGCGAGGTAAGTTGTACTTCTCGAAACTTGTAATCTTATAAGAAATGAGTAATTATAACATCTATGTGTGTTTTGGTTTGCCGTTTTTTACAGTTATATGCTAAAAGCGTTGGCGCACTGTTATTAGCTTGGCTTAAAAGCAACAAGAATACGCTGCAACACAAATGCCATTAATTATAATTAACAGAGAGAGGCTATTAGTATTCATGCTGTTAAAAAAACAGAGCCTTGATATAAGACGGAGTCTGATCTTTGATGGTGTCGCCTACACCGGAAAAAAACAACTGTGAAATGAACAATTATAGCAGAACAAAACTATCTGCATAGAAAAAAAGTCCCATTGTTCTATGATTGGTCAGTTTGTTGGAATGAATGAGTCATGTCTTTGTCCACTGACAACAGAGCTGTCAATCAGTATCAACGTTTATGTTGTGGCATTGAACTCATGCCCAGCAGCTGATCATTGCAGGACCTACAACCAGGTTCATGATGGAACCTATGTAAAGTTTAATGGATTTCAAAAAACAACAACTTCTAAGCAATTGATTTGTAATCAATATAGTCATAGACTTTATTGAATAGTCAGTAATTAATATAAGTATATAATTATAATTATTTTGGATGAATAAATTCATAATTATATTTTATTACTTTATTTACATGAATAAATTAACTTTATATTACCAGTAGGCCAAATTAAATAAAATGGTAACACTGAAAATAAAAATATGATATAGTTTGTCATTTTGTTGAATACAACAAATGTGAAATTTTTTTGTTAATTGTTCTTATCCTTGAATGAAACTAAAATTTATGTATTTAAGGTAATTTCCAATCGTTTTGTTAGTTGTAGCAAATTGTGCAGGACAGTCTTGTTTTGATTTTGATCTCCTGGAGAGACATTAACTCCCCAACAAGAATGCCTTTTTACTCAGATGAAAACCATCTCAATAGGAATTTACAAAATGTCTGCACGATCGAGTAAAAGTCGGTATTACTTTGAGTTAAAAATTGTGATTGTGTTTGAATTTGCGTTTAATAGGATGTCAGTGATCATACAAAGTGTTTGCATGGACATTGTTTATTTACAAAGTGGGGTATTAAAAGTTTGGATTACTTGAATTACATGACTTGACAAGAACATATCTTTTATTCATAAACTGATATATTCTACCATACTGATGAAGATTGAATAGAAAATCTGTCTAATTTATGACTACCGGTATTGAGAATACTGTGCTGTAAAGGTGTGTCCTGTTTTTTGTTTTGTCCATTGTGTTCTCTGTCTTACTCATCTGACCATAGGGGAGCGTTTATTAGCTTATTGTCGGAGGAAGGTGGGAGTCTATGGATTTAAAATAACAAAAAGGGTCAACAAAATAAATTTAAGTGACATCATTTTGACAATCTTATTTCAGATTGTAATTTGGAGGGAACGATGGTCGTCACGGTCACATGCTTTTGTGAAAAAAAATGCTGTGATTGACTCACTCACATGTATGTACATTGCTATGGGCAGTTGGAGACCTGTATCAAATGCAATTAATAGCCAGCTTAGATTTGTGGATTACAGGAGGGACAGATGGATTGGACAAATATTAACATATGATGTAGCAGTTTCCCACAGATGGTCTTTTTAGCTCCGCTGTCGACTTTGTCGAGCAGATCTTATCATATGAGTGATTGTCCGTCGTCCGTGTCAATGTTTTACTTTTTTGACTTCTTCTTGAAAACTACAAGCCTGAATGCTTTGATACTTGGTGTATATGTACCTTGGGTATACCTCTCTTAGGTTTGTTCATTTCATGTTGATATCTTCAATTCTCCAATTTTGGTGAATGTTTTTGTCATTTTTGGTGAAAAGTGATATTTTCGACTTCTTGTTAAAAACCGAAAGTGCAATTGAGGTACTACATGTGGACCTCTCTCAGATTTGTTCATTTTGTAATGATATCTTTAATTCTCTAATTTTGGTGAATATTTTTGTCATTTTTGGTAAATAATGTTATTTTCGACTTCTTGTTAAAAACCGCAAGTGCAATTGCTTTGATATTACATATATAGGTACTACATGTGGACCTCTCTCAGATTTGTTCATTTTGTAATGATATCTTTAATTCTCTAATTTTGGTGAATATTTTTGTCATTTGGGTAAAAAGTGATATTTTCGACTTCTTGTTAAAAGCCAATAGTTCAATTGCTTTGATCTTACATATATAGATACTACATGTAGACCTTTCTCAGATTTGTTCATTTTGTGATGATATCTTCAATTCTCTACTTTTGGTGAATATTTTTGCCATTTTTGGTAAAAAGTGATATTTTCGACTTCTTGTTAAAAACCACAAGTCCAATTGCTTTGATATTACATATATAGGTACTACATGTGGACCTCTCTCAGATTTGTTCATTTTGTAATGATATCTTCAATTCTCTAATTTTTTGAATATTTTTGTCATTTTTGGTAAAAAGTGATATTTTCGACTTCTTGTTAAAAACCACAAGTGCAATTGCTTTGATATTACATATATAGGTACTACATGTGGACCTCTCTCAGATTTGTTCATTTTGTAATG